ACAATTACAAAAGATTGTTGCTTTATCTTCAACTGAAGCAAAATATATAGCTGCTACTGATGTAATTAAAGAAGGAATTTGGTTAAAAGGTCTTTTAAATGAATTTGGTTTCATAAGCGATGTTGTCTTGCATTCCGATAGCCAATCTGCTATATATTTGAGTAGAAATCCTGTGCTTCATAATAGATCAAAACATGTTGATGTGAAATTTTAATTTATTAGAGATGTAATTTCTCAAGGTGTTGTTAAATTTGAAAAGATTTCTACACAATTTAATCCTGCTGATGTTGGAATCAAAGTGCTGCCTTTAAACAAGTTTTTGGACTATTTAAAATAGCTGAATATTAACTCTTGCTGATTTGTGTATCAGGAATAAGAGCAAATGATGTCAAAAATTGGAGAAATCACTATAGATGAAACTAAAATCATTGTACCAAGGTGGAGAATGTGAAGAAATGTGGCACAATGATGATGGGCTGACTTAATACTTCTGCTGGGATGGTTAGTCCAAGAGATAAATGGTTTACTTAATGTTGGCAAAAATCGTGTAACTAAAACACTCTTTCTATACAATTGAAGCAATGGTTATGATCTTGCCAAGTGTCGTATTACTCACCATTGGATTGCAAGACTTCTAGGGCCTTCTACTTAACCCTCATTAGGGTTCCTAGATGGTGCTAGAATCTGGATTTTTCACTCTCTCTCTCTTATTTCGCCGCTTCATCTCTCTCAAGAGATGATTCTTCTTCTTTCGATCTAAAGAATCTGTCCAAAAAAGCTTCCTTCGATATTAGCCCCAAAATTGTATAATCTTGAGTGATTTGCATAGATTATCTTCATATATTCTTGAGTGAATGGCTGTATCGATTAGTGAGGCTTATGTTGAATAATCTTAAATGATATTCTGAGTGCTACAAGATGTACAATCTGGAAGACTTCATTGATTCGTTGATATAGGGATTTTTTCCGGTTTGACGAAAGTTCAAAAGGGGATTAGAAACGATGTTCCGAAACTCTTGCCTTAGGGCGAAAAATCATGTGTTCATCTTTTATTTTTCTGCGATTTCTTTTCATTTTTCATTTTTTTACGTTTATTAGTTTCGGTATTTTTGTTGATTAAGCTCACTGGTTTTTTGTGAACTTCCCATTACAAAAATAAACTGAAAAATAAAATATTGAAGTTTTCTCCACCCTCTTGCCACCACCTCAAGCATTTCGGGTGGGAGATAAAAAATTGTATATAAGAAGGTCGATATGAAAATGGTAAAGAGAGTAAACGGAAATCATATGGTGAAGAAGGAAGTACATGATGAAATTAATAGAAAGGTCAAGAAATCATGGGGATAGTGAGGATTAACGACATATGGGACGGAAATGAATAAAGATAAACAGATAAATAAGAAATTAAGATTTTCAAATGAATAAAAATAAACAATAAAAAAAATTAAAGTTCTCTCAACCCCTCCCCGCTCATTTAACTTATCCTTCCAAGAAATGGGCGAGGAAAATGGAAAATAAGAGAGGCCAGCACGAAAATGATATACATTGAAGACTATCGACAGTTGCCTTTCGTGGCATACACACGGTAGGTTGTTATTTGATATATTAATATAGTAGTTTTTTATTGTTTTATGCATCAAATAACAAACTGTCGTGTGATATATTGTAGGATGACTGCCGATAGTTAGGACTATGAATAATATTATTCATAAAACTAATAGCAGGTCAAGGAATCATAGGCATGTTGATAACTGGCAGATGGGACAAAGGAGTGAACTAAAAAATAGGAAATTTAAGTTTTCTCCATGCCTCGTGTCGCCACTCAAATTCCCATTTCAAGTTGGGAGAGAGGAAATTGGAGAATAAGTAAGGATAGTATGAAAAATCAAAAAGTGAGTAAATAGAAGCCAGTTGGGAAGGAAAGAGGAAAAAAACATGTGAAATCAATAGTACAGGATCGAGGAATCGTGAGGATGGCGAGAACAAATAAGCCAGAGGGAACTGCAAGCCGAGGAGGTGGGTTGTAATTTTGTTTTTATTAATTTTCTATTCAAACTAATTATGCCTTTTGCGCTATCGATTTTGCCTCTTGAACAATATTTAAAGTGCATAACTTTTCAATGTTAATTTGAAATTGAATATCATAAATTGAAATAGAAGGCTAGAAAAAATTGTCAAATGCCAAGACTAGCTACAATTTTTCCTTTAAAGTATTTGAAAAAGTATTTTACAACAAATTTCTTGGGATCGATGGATGGAATGCTAGGTGCATATTGGGGTGTTTAGGTAGCCTATGGTGTTGGCCATAATAATGGGTAGAGCTCGAAAATCCAAAGAGAGTATGTTACAACTCATTTTATCTAGTCAAAAGTCAAGAGTTGAATTTTCAAAGTCCAAGTCAAATGAGGACTTTAATGAAGTAAATTATTTTATTGTGGTTATTTTACAAATTGAAAATATTTTGTTGGTCTAAGATGGATAAATTTTAAAGTTACGGATTTACTTTTCTAGTTTTGAAAGATAAGGGTTTAAGGAAGTGCATATGAAATTAGAAGGACTTTCTTTGCTTAAAACCCAATAACCCATTTCATTTCGGGGGATTGATTTAAAAGGCTTGGTCAAACTAAATATTTGTCCAAGAAGACCAAGAACTAAGGCTTTTAGTTGAAAGGCCTAAAATTATTAAATATGGAAAATAGAATTTGTAAAAAACTAAAATATTCTTGTATGTAAAATGATGTTATTGCCCTAATCTCCTTCACTCCTCTATGAACGACTCAACCACGGTATGTGCCTCCATGCTGATTTTCTTATCATTTTCTTCTTCTCTACTTAATGAAATCACAAAATCTACATTCTCATTCCCTTAAACATTCAATCTTGCTATATTTTTATTGGGCATTTGGAGAAGAAGAGAGTGTATGGTAAATTTTCAATATTTGAGCCACTTTCTTTCTCCATTATTTTGAATCATCTATTCATGTTGTTGTATATGTGTTTGTGGTGTTCATTTTTAAATAATAATTTTGAATTTATTTTATGATTAGATTGGAGCTTTAAATGGGTTACTTCTCAATCTTATTCTCATTACCCCCTTATTTGTATTCCTTAGTATTAATTGAAGTGAAATGTGAAGTGGTGAAGGATGATTGGCTTTTTTCTCATTGTTTTCACGTGAAACATGCATTTGATTTTTTTCAGTACAGAATGACATCCATATCATTTTATGAAATCGTGAACAACATAGATATCGTTTTCTGAAATATATGACAACGTACATATCGTTATCAATACTATATGATATTTTAAATTTGATGAAATTTATATATTGAGTTACAGGTTGTGGATACCATGGACATGGTATGGATATCGATTTGTTATCCAATTGAATATGAGCAGACATTTGAAGGTGCATGAAAATGGAAGTATTCTGAAAATGGCAAAGAGAAAACAATACCTATTCTTGTTGCAAAAACAATTTCTTATATGGAACTATATGATAAAGTTAAGGAGGCATTGAATATCGATACGAGTCTATACAAAATAGAGATTTCAGTTCTTCTCCCGATAATATCTAAAACTCTAGCTGCACCAATCATAATTGATTGTGACAACAACGTGAAGTTGTTTATATCTGCCAGTACAGAAACTTTTCTTTGTGTAAGTATTTGAAATAAAGTTATTGAGAATCGAGAAGATTTTGGTAATGAAGGATGTTTATTAGTAATAGATGGTAAAGAACAAATTGGAAATATGAATAACGAGGAGGAACATGATCGAACATACAACGATGGTAATGATGACAATGGTGATGGAATATTTGTAGATTATAATGGTTTTGATGTAAGTGAAGATAGTCTCCGAAGATTAGATGACGAAGTTAATTCTCATGTGGCAAATGACAATAATTTTGAGTTACACACGCATGAACCTTATAGTAGGAATATAGTGAATGGTAATGATGTCGAAAGTACTCAGATTGTATCTGCAAGTGTAAGTTCACTCTATTATGAGACATCAGCAAAAATTCTAAAATGATTAGATGTGGGAGTCAACCAGTTGTTTCCATCGAAATATGAACTAATATCAAAATTGCAGTTGCTAGCTGTGAAGTGCCACTTTTACTACAAAGCTAAGAACTCAAATAAGAGCACTTATACAATTGTTTGTATTGATGAAAATTGCAAGTGGCGCTTACGAGCAACCAAGATTGTAGAAAGTCCCATTTTCGAAGTTCGAAAGTACAATGGTCATCATTCTTACTCCATGAGTGTTCATCACAGAGATCATAGGCATGCTTCATATATGATTACTGGAAACCACATCGCTCCTAAGTATGAAGATGTTAACCGAGTTTACAGACCAAGGGACATTATTAATGACATTCGTCGAGAGTTCGGCATAATCGTAAGTTATACTAAAGCGTATATGGTTAAAAATTTTGCTTGTGGACTGATTCATGGGAAACCTCGTGAGAGTTATACGAAATTGCCAGCATATTGTCATGTTTTGGAGATGCAAAATCCTGGTACACTGACATTCATTCATACTAATGATGATCGGCACTTCAAGTACCTTTTTATGGCATTGGGACCAAGTATACATGGGTTCCTAAACTCAATGCGAAAGGTTATTTCTATAGACGGTGCATTCTTGACATCGAGAATGAAAGGTGATCTACTCGTAGTAACTTCTCAGCATGCAAATTTTCAAATATTTCCACTCGCATGGAGAGTAGTTGATTCGGAGAATGATGAATCCTGAACTTGGTTCTTTCAGAAGTTGCGGTTAATAACAGGTGATACGGATGACCTTGTGATTATATCTGACCGTGCAATGTGTATCAAAAATGGAGTTAGAAATATGTTTCGATTTGCTTATCATGGTAATTGTACATATCACTTGCAAAAGAACTTGAAGACAAATTTTTCACAGTGTGATGTTGTAACTTTGTTTAGGGCAGCGTCGGAGACTTATACTGTAATCGAATTTGAGCCCTACATGACAGCTCTATACAGTAAAAAGGAGGGCATCAAAGAGTATCTATTAGAAGAAGATTTTCATTATTGGGCTAGAGCGCATTTTACCGGGATACGTTACAATATCATAACTACAAATAATACGGAATCTATAAATGGTTTGTTGAAGAGTGCTCGAGAGCTTCCCATAGTTGGTTTAATAGAATAGATTCGTGGGATACTACAAAGGTAGTTTTATGAAAGACATGCTGAAACAGAAAAATGTGTGACCCAACTCACGCCAGCATTAGAAAAAAGATGTGCATGATATATAATGATTCAAATAGGTTACAGGTAAATCAGGTTTCTCCTGACATTTATCAAGTTGGTGAAAATTTAGAACACCACTTTGTGGATTTTTACGAAATGACATGTACGTGTAAAAGATTTAATTTGGACAAGTTTCCATGTGCGCATGTAATTGCTGATAACAGCTATAAATTATGTACCCCCTTTTACACTAATATTTGTTAGAAGCAAGCTTATTTTACATACGTTTATCCTTTGCCGAACGAGATCGAATGGCAAATTCCTAAAAATGTGATAGTCAAAGAAGTATTTCCACCATTGGTACGAAGACAGAGCGGGAGACTATCAAAAAGAGGAAAAGGTCGATCAGATAGAAGCGTGTGGCTCGTAAGTGCAGCAGGTGCAAGAAAACTAGTCATGTTCGATCCACTTGCATGGGACAAGTAGCCAATAGTGAACCTTAAGGTTGTAACACTATCGTGTTTTGTAACTTTACGACTCGTACTTATTATTTCAACTGAATGAAATGACTTATTAGATTTTGTAGTCATTGCGTTATTGAAATATTTTTGTACCGTTAGAATCAAATTAAAGTATTTTAGGTATTCATGTTCCTTTTTCTCACAGGGAAGGCAAACTACGTTCATGTCGTTACAGTAGACATGAATGTCGTTCCAGTTCAAAAATTGTACAGATTAATATAACGAGTTATAACTCGTTCCTGAGACACAAAACGACATGCATATCGTTTCAATGTTAAATGCACACTGCTTCTTTGATTTTGAGTAACGACTTAGAAATCGTTATGATTACACATCGCGACTTCGAACTCATTTCAGTTAAAATTGATATTAAAATGATTTCAAACTTGTTCCTAAAATATAAAACGACATGCATCGTTTCAATGTTAAATGTACACTGCTTCTCTGATTTTGAGTAACGACTTAGAAATCGTTATGACCACACATAACGACTTCAAACTCGTTTTAGTTAAAGTTGATACTAAAACGATTTGAAAATCGGTCCTGAGACACAAAACGACATGCATATCGTTTCAATGTTAAATACACACTACTTCTCTGATTTTGCATAACGACTTAGAACTCGTTATGACCATGCGTAATGACTTCTAAGTCGTTTTAGTTAAAATTAATACTAAAACGATTTCGAACTCGTTCCTAAGACACAAAACGACTGCATATCGTTTCAATGTTAAATACACAATGCTTCTCTGATTTACGTAACGACATAGAACTCATTATGACGACACATAATGATTTCGAAGTAGTTTCATTTAAAATTGATACTAAAACGATATTGAACCCGTTCGTGCGACACAAAACGACGTTTACATCGTTTCAATGTTAAATACAAACTGTTTCAGTGCTTAACGAGGGTTGGGCACATATCGTTTCTTCTCATTCAGAAAGACATTGATATCATTCTAGTGTAATCGTTCCTGAAACAACATCCATCTCATTTCATTACAAACATATCGAATTCGAAATCGTTTCAGTTGAAATAATAACTACAACGACATTGGTATCGTTTCCTCTCACTTGATACGACATTAGTATCATTATGCTTAAAAATGATGTTTGGGCCATCCACGGCCACCGGCATACGTCCCACCGTATGTATGATGATAAAAATAGGTCATTGAGCTAGTTCAATCTCACTCGAACGATGCTATGGTAACGTTTGTGATTTCATAGTTGTCGTTTACACTCGGGTTATTTCGATAGAAATAGGGCATCTCTGTTGGCTCTTTCAGGCCATTTGAGAGCTACCAGTCCACTTGATACACTCTTTCGATCGTTATACACATTTCGAAGGTGTGTAGAGCGATCGTGGACGATCGAAACGTCGTTTTTAGGCATAACGACATGAATATCGTTTAAATTGCGAAGAAACGATACCGAAGTCATTATAGTTCTTATTCCACCTGAAACGATTTCGAACTCATCAGATTTGTAATGAAACGAGATGGATAACGTTACATTATTTCACTATTTGGTACATAAAGATATACACGTCGTTTCTTCTAAAAGTCTACGACTTCTAACTTGTTTCAATTTATATAACTTCTACAACGACTTCGGTATCATTTCTTCGCAATTTAAACGACATTCATGTCGTTATGCCTAAAAATGATGTTTCGACCGTCCACGGTCGCTCGACATACCTCTGAAATGTGTGTGACGATCGAAAGAGCGTATCAAGTGGGCTGGTAGCTCTCGAATGGCCCGAAAGAGCAAACGGTGATGCTCTATTTCTATCGAAACAACCCGAGTGTAAAAGATAACTATGAAATCACAAACGTTATCATAGCGTCGTTCGAGTGAGATTGAACCTGCTCGATGACCTATTTTTATCATCACACGTACGATGGGACGTATGTCGTGGTCGTGGATGGCCCAAAAGTCATTTTTAAGCATAACGATACTAATGTCGTTTCAAGTGTGAAGAAACGATACTGATGTCGTTGTAGTTATTATTTTAGCTGAAATGATTTCGAACTCGGCAGGTTTGTAATGAAATGAGATGGATAACATTACATTATCTCACCATTTGGTACATAACAATATACATGTCGTTTCTTTTAAAATTTTACGACTTCTAACTCATTTCGGTTTATGTAACATTTACAACGACCTCAAAGTCATTTTTTCAAGAATATAACGATATGTATATCGTTATACCTAAAAATGACGTTTCGACCGTCCTCGATCGCTCCACATACCTCCAAAATGTGTATGATGATCGAAAGAGCGTATCAAGTGGGCTGGTAGCTCTCGAATGGCCCGAAAGAGCCAACGTAGATACCCTGTTTCTATCGAAACAATCCGAGTGTGAAAGACAACTAGAAATCACAAATGTTACCATAGCGTCGTTCGAGTGAGATTGAACCGGCTCGATGACCTGTTTTTATCGTCATACGTATGGTGAGACGTATACCATGGCCGTGGATGGTCCAAATATCATTTTTAAGCATAACGATACTAATATCGTTTCAAGTGTGAAGAAACGATACCGATGTCATTGTCGTTACTATTTCAGCTGAAACGATTTTGAACTTGGCATGTTTGTAATGAAATGAGATGGATAACGTTACGTTATTTCATTATTTGGTACATAACGATATACATATCGTTTCTTTGAAAATTTTACGACTTCTAACTCATTTCGATTTATATAACATCTACAATGACCTCAAAGTCGTTTCTTCAAGAACATAACGATATGTATATCATTATACCTAAAAACGACGCTTAGACCATCCTCGATCGCTCCACATGTCTCCGAAATTGAAACCAATTTTTTCCTTAGGAATCTGTTTTAAGTTTGTTGGAATATAGCGGTGTTAATGAAATCGGATTATCACATACCGTATATGCAATATACTGTATATGCAGCTTATCGTATTTGCAGGTTGCTTACCGTATTTGCAGCCAGCTTACCGTATATGCATCTTACCGTATTTGCAGGTAGCTTACCGTATATACAGCTTATCGTATTTGTAGATTAACGTATTTGCAGACAACTTACAGTATTTGCAATTTACCGTATATGCTCCCTACCGTATAAGCAGTGTGTATTTAACATTGAAACGATATGCATGTCATTTTGTGTATCAGGAACGAGTTCGAAATCATTTTCGTATCAATTTTAACTGAAATATCTTAGAAGTCATTATGTATGGTCATAACGATTCTAAGTCATTACTCAAAAGCAGAGAAGCAGTGTGTATTTAACATTCAAATGATATGCATGTCATTTTGTATCTCAGGAACGATTTCGTAATCGTTTTAGTATTAATTTTAACTAAAACGACTTTGAAATCGTTATGTATGGTAATAACGAGTTCTAAGTCGTTACGTAAAATTAGAGAAGCAGTGTGTACTTAATATTAAAACGATATGCATGTTGTTTTGTGTCTCAGAAACGAGTTCGAAATCGTTTTAGTATCAATTTTAACTGAAATGTCTTCGAAGTCATTATGTATGGTCATAACTATTTCTAAATCGTTACTTAAAATCAAAGAAGCAGTGTGCATTTAACATTGAAATGATATGCATGTCATTTTGTGTCTCAAGAACGATTTCAAAATCGTTTTAATATTAATTTTAATTGAAACGACTTCGAAGTCGTTAGGTATGTTCGCAACGAGTTCTAAGTCGTTACGCAAAATCAAAGAAGCAGTGTGTATTTAATATTGAAAGGATATGCTTGTCGTTTTGTTTCTCAAGAATGAGCTCTAATTATTTTAGTATCAATTTTAATTTAAACGACTTCGAAGTCGTTATGTGTGGTCATAACAATTTCTAAGTCATTACTCAAAATCAAAGAAGCAGTGTGTATTTAACATTGAAACGTATGCATGTCGTTTTGTGTCTCAAGAACGAGTTCGAAATTGTTTTAGTATTAATTTTATCTGAAACGGCTTCAAAATCGTTATGTTTTGTCATAACGAGTTCTAAGTCGTTACGCAAAATCAGAGAAACGGTGTATATTTAACATTGAAACGATATACATGTCGTTTTGTGTCTCACGAAAGAATTCGAAATCGTTTTAGCATTAATTTTAACTTAAACAACTTCAAAGTCGTTATGTAAGGTCATAACGAGTCCTAAGTTGTTACACAAAATCAGAGAAGCAGTGTGTATTTAACATTGCAACGATATGCATGTCATTTTTTGTCTCAAGAACGAGTTTTAAATCGTTTTAGTGTCAATTTTAACTAAAACGACTTCGAAGTCGTTATGTGTGGTCATCACAAGTTCTAAGTCGTTACGCAAATAAGGACAGCAGTGTGCATCTTACATTGCAACAACATGACAATGGAAGACAATGAAAAATATGTAAACTTGTATATGTAAAACTCAACAACCTGACATGGAAAATATCTAAATTTTAAAG